GTGAGATGCACCACATGGCACATGTGAACGATTGCACTCAGGGGCAAAGCAGATCAACTATATTCCTTTTCCTTTTTGCTATGGTTCTGTCGTTCTTGGTTTGAGCTGAGTTCATATTTTTTCGTGGCACCGTGTTTTATGGTGTTATGTCAGTAAATTTATCCCGTAAACCTGTCATGGCGTTAAGATAGTCGTAGTGCCCACGGATCAGCACATCAATAGTGCCGTTATAAAGCTCGAAACAAATAGTTATCAGGAAAATGACCAGTGTCCCTGCCAATGTTTGGTTTGGCTTCCTAATAAATGGCACCTATACCAAATGTACCAGTAACCAAAACGCTATCTAGTTTTTCACGTCACGTGATGTTCATCTCCTCCAGAGAACATGCAGAACGTGGAAGAACCGAAGTCCTGAGCATTGGGGCGTCAGTAGCGAGGCAGCGGGGTGACGGCTACCCATGTAACGAGGCAGCCTGCAGTGCGCCGCTCGGTACAAGACTGTGATGCCCATATCATGCTTGCCATCCAAAATCACCAGTCTCTAACCGCTTGTGCCGCACTGTTCCTTTCCGGGTCAGAGCGCCGCAGGCATTCAGGTGCATGCTTATCGTTCTTCACCGCGCAAACAACGTCGAGTCATCCCTGGTGATGCTGCGAAATATGATATGCACGCGTGGTGGTCAGGGATGAGAATATACCACGGAATCGCTGAAGATAATTGTATTCATTAATGACGTCTGTGCACTCGGCGTGGGTATATACAACATCAAGGTATGCATGTGTGCGCATGCAATAGATTCTATCAGCCTAGAGTCTGTTTCCACCATATCAGCGAAACATTTCGCTGCTCACGGCGTTGTTATCTGAATCCTTTCATTATTCTTTTTTTTCGAGGGATCGTGACGATGAAAGCTGATGGGTGTTGCCAGATAATTTAAAGATCGCCAACTCTGTTCGCTCTCCGGTCGCATGTCTTTTTCGATTTCTGCTACAGTTTCCCAATGTAGATTCGGGCTCACTGCAATGTAGTGTTTTCTTTGCGGATTGCGACTCCACATTCCTGCACACGGCCCGGGCACGTGACCACGACATATCTGACGAGAGCGCGAACTAGTGGGTGCCTCTGTGCCAACTGATGCAAAGGTGAAGTGGTATATTCTTGCCAGAACTGGAAGAAATGCCTTATAACCAGGCTCGCTAAAACGGTGCAGGAATGCCCGTGTTTAGGAGGGTCTTGAACTGCGCGCCACGGCGAAGCGTCTGACATCATCAGCGAAGGCTAGTTCCATGCATCAGCTACGGCGCAAACGTGGAAAGGAAGGGTGGCGGATGAGGGAACAGGGAAAGCTGCTCCTCCCCCACACTACTCCGATTAACATTTCATTAAACACGTGGCGGTGCATGGGAAGAAAGTGATGCACAAATCGACTTTGCCTTCCTTCCCCCATCCCCCCGAAGCTTTCTCCACCACCGTTGAGGCGAAAATGACACGTTTCCGGAGGGTGCGTGATTTCCTTATTGCGACGAGGTGGGCAGCATGGCTTCTGTACTAGTTGGAACGCGTGAATTGGCTTGAACGTAGCTGCGGGAAAGGTGCTTCTCATGCAGAGATATCAGCACTCCTGCAGAAACTCTTAACAACCAAGAGAAATGCATTCGGTGCATTCCGCTTTGCCAGAGCTGAGAACCGAGGCGGTTCAAAACCGTGCACCGCCAACACGTGGTCGCTGTACATGCTTGCTGGGAGGGACGCTCAAAAATGAGAAACTTTTCGTGAAGAGCATGAGACCAATGGAGAGTGTCAAGATGAGCTTCACTATCGCAAATCCGGTGCTTGTTTCGCCATCTTTAACTCAATGGTTTGGCACGCTCTCCCTACAGCTCCCCGTCGTGCTTAGTTTTCGACACAATCAGAATTGGCTGTGGGATGTCTCCGTCTCCATTTTATCTTCTCCACACAGCCAAAACGGCTATTCCGTGCTTATCTCCAGAATCGTAGCATTCGCGACGGCTTTCTCAGGCCATGCTGTTTTTCCTGCTGAAATCGCGCGAAGGTTCTGACGCTTCGATTTCACCATGTAGCTGCACTGCTCTCTTTTTCCGACGCCACATACCAAAGCCTCCGCAAATTCTGTCAACGTGAGTAACGAAAACCCGGTGACCAGACCGAGGATGCCGCCTATGTTGGCCAAAAGCGTGCTCTGCGTGAAGGCGAGCGCTTCCTGGACCTCGTCGGCAGCCAGGTCCAGCGTCAAGGACACCTCCGTAAGGCACCGAGACAAGGTGACGTTGATGCTGTCATATCCTCCCGTCAGGCTCTCTTGGTGTATGTTATAGGCGACCGCGCGGCATGCGCTGGGGCAGTCGCATCCGTGCAAGTCTTCTGCCAGGCTGTTGGGCACGCACTGCGCCACTGCCGGTATGGTCACTGGCGCTGGGGGCGGCGGCGGTACAACGCCTCTGCTCCGTGAAGAGGCGGTACGTCGCCGACGGTCACCGCGGGCTTTGTTCACGGCCTGCCATCCGTTCGCTGCCGTCGGGTATGAGAGGTCCTCCAGTCGGGGCCGGCTCCATGAGGAAGCCTGTTGTTGGCAGGCCGGGTCCTTTAATTGGTAGGGAAGGACCGTTCGTATCTTCTCCCGTTCTGACTGCACGAGCCTTGAGCACACGGGCAGGTGGTCGAGGGGGCCCCGCATCTCGGGAAGAAACGCGTCTTCAGACACCATGTGCGGCAGCCGACAGCCGATACGCGCCGCCAGACGCCGCCACTGGCACTCCTTTAGACAGCGGGCCACCGAGTAGCCCGGCTCCTCGCGACAGGGCTGCCGGCGCACGTTGACCAGCCGCCGTAGCTGCGCTGTCACACGGTAGCCGGTGGCCCTGCCAGCCCGCAGCTCGCGTGTCGGTGTCACCGGCACGGGCATGTCGAGCCGCGGCGCCGGCAGGTCGCCCACGCTCGGTTCCTCTGGCCCGTGCACGTACAGCCGGTAGGCCACCTTGTCGCTGCTGCCAGTGAAGAGGACGGGCACGTGCAGGAGCAGTCGGGCCGAG